TTTTTTCTTTTTTTTTCTTTTGATCAACACAATTTAAGTGTGCCATGAAAGTTTAACTATAGGTTCAAATGTGCTGTGAGATTAAAAAAAAAAAAAAAAAAGGTTGAAAAATACTGATCTACCCAATCAGTAACAGGGTGAAGCAACTGGAACTACAGAGAAGGGTCTCGTGTATCCCAGTGAGAATGAAAGTTCTTTGAGGACAAGGACTAGCTTTTATCTCAGTGTCTACACAAATCAACATAGTTCTCCGTTCTTCCTCTAGGAACTTATTAAGTGTTACATGAACACATACATAGTCCTACTGTTAACATAATCTTTCCCTCCACTGCAAAATCAGGCAGAGAGAATGGCTGATCTAACTGAACAAAGCAGGTACAGGGAGCCCTGAAACATGTCAGCAGAAAGGAGCCGCCGTTGTCTTTACCCCCTGCCCATTCCATCCCCTTACTTGTCTCTAAGGCCAATCAGGTCTTGTCTAGGTCTTTGATTCTAACAGCTGAGAAGAGACATAATTGAAGACCACTAAGCAGAGATGCAAAAGCAGAAAGAGAATCTTAGCACAACCCAGCTCTCAGGATTTATAAACAGACTTAAGAAAGTCCTGACCCCAGACAGCCAAAGGTGCAAGCTGGAGGGAGGATAAGAAGACTCCAAAAGGCAGAGACCCTGAAGAACATCAGTAGGGAGGGGCACCCTACCGGCTCTTCAGAAGTTTAATTTCTTCAGTCTGCTATAGTTCTTCTAGCTACTGAGACTTGAACTCATGGAGTCCTTCCTGGCTTCTCTGCTCTTATCTAATCTCTTCCCAAACCCCACTCATTCTTTACTGTTGCTTTCCATCTACCTGCCAGGTCAAAGCCCTTGTTACTGCTCACCTGGGTCATCAGACAGACCCCTAACTGATCTTCCTGCTGAGATACTCCTCTTTCCAATTCATCTTACAGACTGCAGTCCAGGGTGATCATCTTGTCCCAGGTTGCCCAGAACTATCTCAGATTTAACACTGCAAGGTTTATGTCCTGGAAAATCCTTTAGTCCCAGGAAAATTCAGACAGTTAACCACCTACTTCAGTATGATTAACATCTTCCTGCAAATAATACTTTGATCATGTCATTTTCCTCACCAAAATGACCCCTGCTTCCCATTTCTCATTAAAATAAACCCTAAACAAGGCCCCAAATCTTCCTCAGAGAATGCATAAGAAACTATATTGGGCTGGGGTAAGGAGGCAAGCATGCAAGGTTTGGCTTTTGTCTTAGTCCTGGAACGCCTGTGGCAAGTCACTCCATGTAGATGAGTCTCAGTTTCCTCACCTATAAAATTAAGAGACTAAGACTAGGTTTTCCTTTCAGTTCCAAAATTTTCTAAAACTATTTTTCTATTTACTGTCTGATCCAGCCAGCGCTACCAGCTCACTCTAATACAAACACAATATACAAATTTTCACCTTAGTACCTTTGATCCTTCCCTTCCTCCCACTCAACAATTCTTGGCTTTTCTCTCTGTCCACCTGAATCCTTTGAGGAACAGCACAAATCTCACCTCATAAGAGAGTCCCAGGCCAGCCCTAGGACTCCACATACATCCAGGTTTTCTAAAGATCAGCACTTAGCATGTCCTACCCTTCCTTAGTCCTCAAAGTCTTTTCTAGGATTGACATGGTGGCTTACACCTGCAATCCTAGCACTCTAGGAGGCCAAGGCAGGAGGATCACTTGAGCTCAGAAGTTTAAGACCAGCCTGAGCAAGAGTAACATCCCATCACTATTAAAATTTAGAAAATAAAATTAGCAGGGCATTGTGGTACCTGTAGTCCCAGCTATTCAGAAGGCTGAGGCAGGAGGATTAGTTGAACCCAGGAGTCTGAGGTTGCTGTGACCAAGGCTGACACCATGGTACTCTAACCTGGGCAACAGAGTGAGATTATATCTCAAAAATAATAATAATTATATAATAAAATTTTTTTCTGCATGAAACTTCTTCTTTAGATAGACTTTATATAGACTCCTAACTGGTCTCCCTGCTCAGATAATTCCTCTTTCAAATTCATCCTACACAGTCCAGGGTGTGGACTGAACTAAAATATCTCTACACTTTTGTGATTTTCTTGCAGAATCCTGACTGGTACATGAATATATAGGGAAAAAGTCCAAACAGAGACCTAAATATGAGACAAAAGTAGAAATACAGGTGAGTGTAGAAGTTTTTGCACCTCGTACAGATTCTTCTATGCTTCTATAATCCAATACTTTGCTTATCCCAAAAACATTTTCTAAGACTATCCCATACTTAAGACATTGTGCTGGCAGGCCAAGGTGTGAAAATAGGAAATAAATGGAGGCCCAGAGGTCTCACAGCACCTCTGTCTCACAGTGTCACAAACATCCACATTGTCCCTCAACTCCAACCTTATAATAAGACTTAAAAGATTCAAGTGGTGGCTGTTCCACCATCAGCATCCCCCACTCCCAAAACTATCATGTACCTACTTCTCCCACTAGCTCTTGGAGCTGCTAAATGAAAAAGAACAGCAACTCAAATCAGGTCAATAGATTCATGTACAAACATCTGCCTAAAACTATAGTCTGGCCCAATGCACAGGCTATTCCCAACATGACAGATGAATCTCTTCCCGGAACTATAGTCTGGCCCAATACACAGGCTATTCCCAACATGACAGATGAATCTCTTCCCAGAACTATAGTCTGGCCAAATACACAGGTCATTCCCAACATGACAGATTTCTGTGACTGCACAGATATCCTCCTTCAGTATGAGTGGACTGCTGTCTTCTATTAGTTTTGGCAAATGACATATATTAAGGATGAAGTCAGTCAACACCTCTGTCTTATGGGAGCCCCCCCACCCACCCCAGCACGTACACACACATTCCTCTAATTAAACGGGGCTGGGACTTGAACAGTGTCACCTACTTTAATGACAAACAGGTTCATGAGCAAGTGAGGGAAGTAAATAAACCAAACGGTTTGCAGTGGGAGAAGTCAAGCAGGGCTGAGCTGGGCTGAGCTGGGCTGGGCTGGGCTGGACTGGGCCGGTCTGGGCCAGGCCCCAAGTGATTTAGGCTCTGCCACAGAATGGGTGTCTCCTGGGATGGCCCAGTTGGATCATTAAGCCCCCTATAAATAGGATGGGTTTTCAGGCCTCCAGTATCTTCTCTGTCTTCCAAATCTTCTGCTCATCTTCCACAAACAGGTAAGACATTCACAGGGGAGAAATGGCAGTGTCTGCAAGGCTCCTGAGAGCAACTGTAATGTGCCAGGTTGAGGGGGTCTGACACTTCTCTCTGTGGGCAATTGCCCTGGGTACCTTTCTGGTTCTATCTGAGAATATGATGGTAGCTGGGGTGACCTATTTCTGTGCCTGTAAATTACATGTGCCTTTGCCTCAATGTGACCTAGGCATTCCAAAACCAAGGGCTAGAGTTATTGATAAATAGCTTGGTCTTCCATAGAGGGGACATTTACTTTTTTTGAAAGGTAAAACCCTACAGTTCAGCCTCATCAGAGCCAAGGCCCTGGGCCATAAAGCCTGGCAATATTCAAGTCTCCTTTCAATGAATTGCCACGAGGGATTCCCCTTGTCCCGTGAAATCCATTATTTGCTACTTATCTTTATAGATATCACCGTATGTTCAGTGGGCTCTGCAGTTGGGGCTTTAGTTTGGAGGTCTATAAATCTAGTAACTGCCAATAACTAGAATTTCCATATCAAGAAAAAATATTATAGAGATCCAGATCCCAAAAGACTCAACTCTCCCAGCATGGCGGCTGTGGACTTAACTGATAATATATACTTCCTATCACCTGTGCAGTTAATTTGTCTGTGTATCCACTTGCTGTTTTTGTCTGTAAGGATTTTTGTATTTATTGATTTCATTTTATAAGCATGTCCCAAAATGACCATCCAGGAGCTGTTCAGTGGACTCTTGTTTGTCTCCTCCAGTGTAGTAGTTGTTGGTGGAAAATTCTGTCCCAATTCTGGCTCTGCTTCTGTGGGCTTTCTGATCTCCCTTACGTTTTGTCCTGAGAGTCTCAATCAAACAAGTCCCACCCAGAGTAGAGGGTAGGGTACGTAAAGTGTCTACCATATAATTTTTGTTTTTTAGGAAATTGTCTTTTTTTCTAGAAAGAGGTACATAATTTGCATCCACCTCCCACTGTAACACATGATATCTAGAGCCTGAGTCAAGGTGTGCAAGTGAGAAGGTTCAAGACACCAGTGCATATTTGATATTTTCCTCCTATTTGAATTTCCTTTTTTTTTTTTTTTTTTTTTTTTGAGACAGAGTCTGACTCTGTCACTCTGGGTAGAGTATCATGACTTCATAGCTCACAACAACCTCAAACTCTTGGACTCATGCAAGCCACTTGCCTCAGCCTCCCAACTAACTGGAACTATAAGTACCCACCACAATGCCTTGCTAGATTTTCTATTTTTAGTAGAGATGGGGTCTCGCTCTTGCTCAGGCTGGTCTTGAACTTCTGAGATCTAGTGATCCACCCACCTCACCCTTTCAGAATGCTGGGATTACAGGTGTGAGCTACCATGCCCAGCCTGAAGTTTATTTCTTTTCTTTTCTTTTTTTTTTTTTTTAGACAGAGTCTCATTATGTCAGCCTCAGTAGAGTGCAGTGGTATCCCAGCTCACAGCAACCTCAAACTCCTGGGCTTAAGCAATTCTCTTGCCTCAGTCTCCCATGTAGCTAGGAATACAGGTGCCTGCCGCAATGCCTGGCTGTTTTTCTGTTGCAGTTGTCATAGTTGTTTAGCTGGCCTGAGCCGGGTTTGAACCGAACAGTCTCAGTGTACGTGGCTGGCACCGTAACCACTGTGCTATGGGGACCAAGCCTTATTTCTTAAGCTTCTTTTCCAGATCAAGAGGAGTGACTTTTCCCCTGGAAATGATGTCTCCCAGTCTTTATCCTGAACACAGATAAAGTCTTGCTTTTTCTTTTAGGTTCACTAGTACTTGTTAAAATGACTCAACTCCTAAATAGCATACTCCACATAATAGAGGTGTTCCAGAAACATGCCCAAGAGGATGGAGACTGTGCCTCACTGTGCAAGAAGGAGTTGAAGCAGCTCCTCTTGGTTGAGTTTGGAGACATCCTCCGGGTAAGATACATAGACACCTGGCCCCATGAAGTCAAATGTGAATGACTCTGACATGTGTGTCCAGAGTTTAATGCTTTGAATTTGTTTTATTTGGTCCACCTGCTAACAAAAAGAATTTCAGGCCATTTTTTAGTAGTTCTCTCCCAGCATACACACACACACACACATGCACATGCACATGGGCACAAGCACATCTGAGTTTGAACCAGATGGAATACAACTTCAAAGTAACAGGGAACAATTTCTCAGAAGGAAACTGTACAATCATATCTGTATTTTATATTTTTGAGCTATTCACCCATCTCATGCATTCATTCAATCAATCAATCAATCAAGAGTCACTGAGCACCTACTCCCTGCCAGTACCATCCTAGGCACTGCAGATGAACATGAATAAAAACAAGAATAAAATTAGCTTCCCCTCATTCCCATCTTACAGTGTGAGGAAAAAAGTAGGTAAATGGACTATTAAGAGTACAGCCTGTGATGAGATGCAATAACTTTTTCAGATGACTCAAACTGATTATTTAATGAAGCTTATTTTAAATTAGTGTATCTACCCCCTATGGTCATGTGCCCAGTGGCCCAGCAAGCGCTGGGATTCTGAGAAACAGCTAATAAAAGGCTAGAAACAAGCCCAAGCTACTTCAGATTAGTGGTTTCTCAACCAAGGAAGGCCTTGCAGGACTGAATGATTATGTATCATTAACACTAATACACATCTTAGAACCCACAGGAAACATCTGATTTTGCTCTTTGTTTTACCTTCTCAGAGGCCAAATGACCCAGAGACTGTGGAAACCATCATGAACCTCTTAGACAGAGACAGAAACGGATGTGTTGACTTTCAAGAATACCTCCTGTTGGTGTTCCAGTTGGTCCAAGCCTGCCATCATAAGCTAGATAATAGATCGTGTGCAGATAGAACCTCCCAGAGAGAAAAGCGGCAAGAAGAAACACAAGACCATAAATTTCCAGGAAACACAGGCAGACAACACAGCCAGAGGCATGAGGGAAAAAGGCAGGACTCCCACCACAGTCATTCTGAAGGGCAAGATAGGGACTCCCTCCACAGTCAGTCTGAGAGGCAAAGTAGGGACTCCCACCATGGTCAGTCTGAGAAGCAAGATAGGACCTCCCACCACGGTCAGTCTGAGAGGCAAGATAGGGACTCCTACCACAGTCAG